TGGCTGTCACCAAAGAAACACAGCATAACACATTCAGCAGCAGGCCTTACACGCTTCACAGTATAAACAGATAGCAGTTAGTGTTATGAGGAGGAGTGTCACGAGGAAGAGGGGAGATTCATTTGCTCCTCTTACCTCTGAACTTCTTCGGCGGGTTGTTGAGGTCCCCAGCATCAGGCTGGATGACGCAGCGGTCATCCACCAGGCTGTAAATACGGACACATGTAAGCGCTATACATATAATAAGATCATATCCCAAGTTACCATGACAAAGCTGGCAAAGCCCCGAGCATAACAGTCACAGCAGCAATGAGGAATAGTTAAGTTCATGTTTAAAGTTGTTGTTTTTTTTAAACAAGACTCGAATAAACATGTAATCATTTTCTTATTCTTCTATTATAGTGAGCTGAATGCTTATGAAGTTTGGACCATTTTAACAAAAATGTAATTATCTGCAATTAGGCCATTTTGATGTTTATGATATTTTTAGAGCTCACAATGAATCAATTGGTACAACAAATATTTAAACACTGCTTACTTTAAAAAGAAAAAGTGCCAGTTGCAACTTAATTTCAAAAACACTGCATCAATTGAGTGTGTTTGATTAATAATTTTATAGGACAGCAATGATTGGAACAAAAGGCCAGGAGGAACAAAGGGTTCATAATACTGAGACAGTCAAACTGATCAACACCACATTTTCAGAACTTCAACTCAGCGTAACTGGTCAACATTTCTGCAGATGTACTAAGATTGCCATTGTTCTTGGATATCAGAGTCACTGTAATTCATCATTCCTGTGGGTTTGTGTTTAAGCTTACTGTGTGTGTGCTAAACAGAGACTCAGGCAAAAAAGTATTTCCAACAAAAGCGTGTGCAAAAACTTTACATTTGTTTCATGAATTATCTGGGATCTTTACATAGTTGCAGCATGTTTTAGCCTCCCCTTCCACAAAATAAGGAAATATTCTGGATTAAATGACCGGTGGCCAGACAGGAATTTCTGGTGACAAATTTAGCTTTCACTGGCTTAGAATAACACTTGTCTGGACACAGGCCAAATCCCACATCCACTTTCAGCCTTCTGAAGTTGCCCAAACAGACCTCACTGTTCCATCAGCCTGCACATCTCGAGGAACAAGACCGACTACGAGGGGCGAACATACCCGTGCGTGCTAAGACAAATAACAGCAGAGTGACAAATTAAAGGAAAAACGCAGACTTTTTCACCTCTAAAGTGAGGGCATTCAATTGCTCCACTATACTGTGGAAGCTCTAATCTCCCTGACCTGACTTTGGAAGGAATACTAACTGCAAATCGACACAAAGTTGTTGCTGAAAATAACATGAATCACATGCGCTGACCTTTGCAGTTACCAGATCTAAACCTAATTTACTACGAGAATTAGCCTTTGGATCAACATGTTAGTCAGTTTTCACCACCAGCATTGTCAAAACACCAAATGAGGGAGTATCTTTTAGAAACATAGTGTTGCGGCCCTTCAGTGGAGTCTTACTGAATCAACGCTAAGCTCTGCTGAAGTTAATCTGGCATCAAAACTCCTTACTGTATTTGGGGGGGGGGGTCTGTCACATGAGCATGCTTTACGCAACTTCGCTTTCACAGTGGTCAGTTATTAACACAAGTTTAATAGTTACACCTCTGCACAAACAGGACGGGTCCTGCTAGATACTCAATGCACACAGCAGCATTTTCAAAAAAAAAAAAAAGAAGAAAAAGAGAAGAAAAGAAAATGTAGCCTTTCATTTGCTCATATAACCCCCTCCCCTCTGCAGCTGTTGACTTGGACTGCTATTTGAGTGAAGAAAAAGAGTTAATGTGTACAGAATTTTCTCAGTATGGTGTCTTACTTAAAGGGCAGTTGATCTGGAGAAGGCTGCTGAGTTGGTGTTTATGCGTGGAGAGGATGGCTTCTGGCCAAAACCGTCATGACAATTTTCTAAATACATGTGCTAGCATGTGCGTGCGTGTGTGTGTCTATGTGGGAAGCACATGAACTCCAGAAAGGCCACAATGTCTCTATAGTGACTCAGTCTTCGCTGTAGGTCATTCCATTTTTCATGAGCCAGGAGGGGAGGTCCAGGACACTGAGCAGATAGCCCTGATACCATTACTAATGCTAAATGCCATGGTTTACCGTCTTGTGATTTCCTGATGGTTTATACCAGCAAAAAACATTAATGCAAACTTTCTCTTGTTGCTTTGTTTAGATTCAGAACAAAGGGGAGAGGTTAAAAGCAGCACAACTGAATCTTACTGCGCTTGTGATATTTCTGTCATATCCTAAGGCCAGTATTTCAAGCAGTAAGCCAGTGTAAGTAATCCCAACAGATAGACCATATCAAAATATGCATTTTACAACTAAGGAGAATTGATGGAGGAAAACGATACATTAATGCTGTGACTGTGTGGGCAAATGAGTGGCTTGCCAACAGTACCACCAGACCATTTATTGTCTTCTAAATCTACCCTTCCAACCCAGGCCTGCCCCGAACTTTATCTGCATGTTTTTTGCATTTGTTGCAACAAATTACATTCACTACTTAATCCCATTCTGAGACCAAATGATGACCCTGTCACCGTGTGTAAGCAAACGCGTGCATACACAGGCATCGGACTAAAGGGAAGAAATGTGCTTGTTCTCGACTTTGTCATCAAAATGGTTAACAGTTACTACTACAAGTGTGATTTCCTCCCATCCAAAAAACTGCTGGCTCAGTATCATGACTGAGCAGCATTTTTTAAGAAAAGTGTGAAGTGGGCCCTCCACACAGGCACAGGGACATACCCTAGGGTGCTGATGAAACCATTGGTTGATCCCTCTGCATACAGGGAGCAGATGTCCCCAATGTGTAGGAAACTGGACATTTTGTCCGACATGTTTGGCACACAAGGGAGCACCTGTATAGGAGAAATTGGGAGAAAATATGGATATTATTAGATCATTTAATATAACATCCCTGTCATGGACACATGCCATCATGCATTTATTCAGTATCCATATGCAAATTAATAGTTCCAAGTTAGGAGCAGTTTTGAGAGAGCGGGTACCCTTGCAGGTGGAGACTACACTAACACAACTGTCAGGCTGCAAAGATTTGCATAGAGAGGAAGAGAACATGTCTATTAGATGTTACTGTAGCCCCGCTGGTGTTGTGCTGCGCCTCACATGTTTAGGAGCTGCAGCTGCCAGCCAGGTTTATGCACCTGCAACAGGTCATAGCCACTGAAAGCTGATAGAGAGCAATGCAGGTCCCCTCCACTCAGGTTATCTGCCTGTGTGTTTTTCTTTTTTCTTTTTTTTTAAGCACTGCCTCTCACTGAGGTCGATAAAGCCCCATAACAAGTTATTCTGGTGGCTTTCCGACCGCCGTCTGTTGCAAGCCCGACCAAACGATCAACGATCACACAGCAAAAGCTCGGATCTTCTTCATCTAAGCGCCAGCGAAACTTGAGAAAGCACATCCAGCGTTAGCATTGTAATCGCGGCTCACTATCACATTGTTTCACAGCAGCCCGAAATCATTGTCGGTGTAAGATCCACCCGTCCGTGATACAATCTTGTTGGGCTTCTCTTTAACAAAAATATTGTTCACTAAAAAGCGCCGCTTTTGAGCTCTGAGTTTTTTTTTAACCATTTAAGGAGAACTAAATCCTTTCCCCCCCTTTCCGCTGCGAGGAGATAGACATATGAAAGGAGGATGATGACAAACTGCTCAAGTTAAGCTCTCAACTTTACCTCGGCTGTGCTCGGTTATTTAGCTTTCTCTGGGCCAGCTAAGACAACATGACTGCGGTTCTCCTCTCCTTCGGGCCGGGAGGTGACATCCAGGCGTCAGCGAGTGTAATAATCCAGTTTTTTGACAGCTCGGACACCTTTCCGCGCCTCTCAGTGCTCCCGCAGGTTGTGCTCACTGAGGCAGGCACTGGCTGGTTGAACTGCCTGGCTCACTTCCACTTCTTCTTCTCAAGCGGCCGTAGTGTTGATAGCTGGGAAATGATGTCCACGTCGCTCCATCCTACCGCTAAGAAAATCTGAGCTGGGTTATCACTCCTGCTACTGCGCTGCTCAGATTTATACGGCTGAGAAGAAGTCTATTTTTATGTAAAAAACAAAACAAAACAAAACAGAAAGGTCAAAAATCTGTGTGATTTTGGGCGAATAAGTCATTGAAGTGTATTTCAGATAAGCGATTGTATTAATATCATCACAACCGGATGTAGCTGTATTTGCGAGCCGAGATCAGAATTTGCAGTGTTTTTGTGGATTAACAGAGTTTAGTCCACAGCAAACATTCACTTCGGGAAGGAAAGGGTTACGTTTTCTTACACTGTAGCCAGCTGACTGACCACGTGACTTTACGGAAGTAACAGTGTCAACTAGTGATGGGCAGATGAAACTTCATGAAGCACTGAAGCTTTTCATCCAATTGGTTCACCCCAGCGCAAAGCTTCTTGAAGCTTCATTTGCTCTAGTAGGACACCTACTGGACGTAAAAATATTAGTTGGCATGAATTTGAAGAGTGTGGCCTTTTGCACACAGCCTGTAAATGTCAACAACAAAAGGAGTGTGTAAAACATCTATATTGTAGTGATGGCAGTATACTGTGTATATTTATACTGGCAGTATGGAAAATGATCGTTTGGAAATGCTTAAAATGGAAATGATCATTTACTGTGAGGTGAGGTGTGGTTGGGGTGTGGACAGTGGTTGTGCTTT